CCTCCTGGCGCACTCACCCGGCACGCCCAGCTCCTCCGCCAGCCGCCGGCCAAAGGCCTCGGCACAGAGCACACACTCATCCATGGTGACGCCCCTCACGGGCACGAAGGGGCACACGTCCAGGGCGCCCATCCGGGGGTGCTCCCCTGCAGGGACAGGGGCAGAGGAAGGGGAGGCCGGGCCGGGCGCTCAGAGGGCTCCTGGACGCCCCGCCGCACCCCACCCTCCGCCGCCGGGACCCCGCGAGAGCCAGCGGGCCAGGTCCCCCTCGGAGCCACGGGGCTCAGTGCCCGGGTGGGCGCCGCGCTCCCACTGGCCGCCAGGCCCTCCGGCCCCGCAGCTTCCGGAGCGGCCTCCCCCAAACCTGGGCCCCTCCCCACATGTCCCACCGCGCGGGGAGCCCCTGGCTGGGATTAGCTTCCTCCTCACCAGCTGGGATCACCTGTGGGTCCCCCGCCCCCGCCCAGCGGCCAGAGACCCTGCCCTCTTGACCTCTCCCTGTGTGTCCACCAACCTTTGACCCCAGCCGCCCTGGACGGTCCACTGGACGGCCAGCTCCCGCGTCCTCGCCCCCCGGGCCCCCCCAGGCCTGCGCGGGATGCCGGCGCTGGGCACCCCTGAAACACGGGCGGCCCGAGACCCCCGGGGGCCCTCCCGGGACAAGCCCGCAGGCCGCTGCCCCGCACCCGAGGCGGAGCCGGCCGCCGCGCTCACCCCGGTGCTGGCTCATGTCGATGAGCTGGAAGGCCGCCCGGGCGGCGTTCAGGGCCCCCTCCACCACGGCCCGGGGCTGCCCCACGAAGGTGTAGACAGTGCGGTTGGTGGAGGGGCCGGCGTCCACGTCCAGCAGCACACAGCCCGGGGTCTGGGTCACGGCTCGGGAGATGGCGTCAATCACCTGGGGAGGAGAGCCCGACCCCGTGCCTCAGTTTCCCCACTTGGAAGAAGGGACAGGAGCCTCAGAGGAGCCGCGCCTCTCCTGCCGCCCCAACCACCACCCACACAGGGGCCTAAGGAGCCAGCGCTGAGCGTGTGGGAATCCCTCCAAGAGCGCAGGCCCGGGGAGGCCCACCCGTGTTTCCTGGGGTCAGCAAGAGGAGGGAAAAGAGGGGAAACTGAGGCAGGAATCAGAACCCGGATGGAGGGACTGCTGGGCTCCAAGAAAGTGACCTATGGGCCAAGGTCACAGAGGGTCAGGGTGCTGGCCCCCCAAGCAGTCCCAGGGTGGGGGGGCTAGTGAAGGGCCCGGAACCTTCTGTGGCAGCAGGACAGCCCGGTGGTCGGGAGCAGGGCTCTGTGGCCGTCGGGGGCCTGCTCCAACTCCCTGTGCCTCAGTGTCCTCCTCAGTAACGGGGGGGGGGGGTAAGAGCAGAGCCCACCTGAGGAGGTGCGGGGACCCCTGCCTGCCTGCCCATCCCCCGGCCTCTTCCTCAGCCCTGGTCGGCCCCTTCGAGTCCCTGCCTCATGGGCACCTCCCCATGGCTGAGGACAGGGGAGACCCGCTCCCCCGACCCACACCGAGCACACCTGTGTCCTGGCCCTAAGCCCCCCGCCTCCCCTCACCTGCTGGTTGTTCCCCTCTGAGAAGTTGGGAACACATTCCACCAGCTGGGCCATGGTTGGGCCTCGATCCTGGGCTCCGCTCCCAGGACAGACGGAGGGGAGGAGGGACAGTGCTCCCCGGGACCTGCGGCCCTTATCTGCGGTGGCAGGGCCCTCCCACGGCAGCCGGGTTGCTCATTAACCATAGTCCTGGCGAGGCGCGGGCGGCCCTGGTGTCTGCGCACCCACGGAGCAGGACAGGAAGGGGGCCGGACCCCGTGAGCCAGATGAGGACATCCCCCCACCCAGCTGGGGGCCGGCTCCCCCGAGAGCAGCACAGGTGACCGGGACCCTCAGGGGGCGAACGTCCTCCAGGGGCTGGACTCAGGTCAACCCAGGCTCCAATCCCAGCTTGGCCCAGGGCCTCCTGGTGGTTGTTCATGTGACCCTGCATGTGACCCTCCAAGTGACCTTCCAAGTGACTCTCCAAGTGACATTCCGAGTGACGCTCTGAGTGACGCTCCAAGTGACGCTCCAAGTGACCCTCTGTGACTCTCCATGTGGCCCTCCATTGACCTTCCATGTGACCCTCCATATGACCCTCCAGTGACCCTCCAAGTGACCCTCCAGTGACCCTCCATGTGACCCTCCATATGACCCTCCAGTGACCCTCCATGTGACCCTCCAATGACCCTCCATATGACCCTCCAGTGACCCTCCATGTGACCTCTATGTGACCCTCCATATGACCCTCCAAGTGACTCTCCAAGTGATGCTCCAAGTAACCCTCTGTGACTCTCCATGTGGCCCTCCATTGACCCTCCAAGTGATGCTCCAAGTGATCCTCCAAGTGACCTTCCAGTGACTCTTCCAGTGACCCTCCACTGACTCTCCATGTGACCCTCCAAGTGATGCTCCAAGTGACACTCCATGTGACTCTCCCAGTGACCCTCCAAGTGACCTTCCAAGTGATGCTCCAAGTGACACTCCAAGTGACCCTCCAGTGACCCTCCAAGTGACCCTCTATGTGACCCTCCATGTGGCCCTCCAAATGATGCTCCAGTGACCCTCCAAGTGATGCTCCAAGTGACCCTCCAGTGACCCTCTATGTGACCTTGCAAGTAACCCTGCATGTGACCCACCATGTGACCCAAATGACCCTCCATCTGACCTTCCATATGACCTTCCAAGTGACCATCAAGTCACCCTCCATGTGATCTGCCAGTGACCCTCCATGTGACGCTCCAAGTAACGCTCCAAGGACCCTCCAAGTGACCCACCTTGTGATGCCTGTGACCTTCCATGTGACTGCATGTGACCCTCTAGTGACCCTCCAGTGACCTTCCAAGTGACCCTCCATATGACGCCCCAGGTGACCCTGTGAGCCTCAATTTCTTCACGTCGGCTTCTGAGCTTCAGGTGGCAGGAAGATGAGAGGGGCCGAGTGTGGGACCCCGTCTGCGGCCCTGGCTCTCGGCAGAGGTCAGCTCGGCCTGGTCGGGGCAGGGGGTGGGGGTGGTGTCGAGTCTGCCCGTGCGTGGAAGTCCTGCAGCGCAAGGGGGCACGATGAAGCCCCAGCTCCCCAGCTGCTGGCTGTTGTCCCGAGGCCGGAGGCTCCTCACAAAGGGGTGACGTGTCTGGGCCAGCAGCCCAGGGCCCTGCACCCAGACATCTGGCCGGGCCACCAGGTGGGCATTCCCAGCCTGCGAAGCTACCTAGGAGGAGGCCAGCCCGACAGGGCAGGGACAGTGCCAGCCTGAGGACACTCCTGCCTGCCCGCCGGGGCCCTCCCAGACGCCCACCGTACCCCATCTGCCATCCGCCAGGGCGCAGGATCCACCCAGCCGTGGCAGTGCAGGGGGGCCAAGGGCCCAGGGGGGAGACGCCCAGCTCCTGGTCCCTGCATATGGCCTCGGGACCCCACCCCTGGAGCAGCCAGACAAGCCCAGAGCCCGGGGAGACTGCGGCAGGCCAGGCCCTCTGCAGCCCCGGCTCCCCTGGGTGGACATGATGACCGCTCTCCCTCCTCTAGGTCCCGGGGAGCCCCGGCAGGACCTGCAAAGGCCCAACGAAAGTGTTCTTCCAAACCCGGGTCCTAACACCGAGGCTCGTCCCTAGAGGCCTGCGTCCCAGTGGTGCCCAAGTGCTCACCAGCCCCCCCCACCCCGACACAGAGCTTGGTACCAAATCTGCGCACCCCGGACGGACCCCCAAGGTGGCAGAGTCCCTCAGCTGGGGGTGAGTGTCCAGCGGCTGGAAGGGCAGGGAGGCGCCAGTGATGGACTGAGTTGTGCCCACCCCCAAAATCATGTGTTGAAGCCCCGACCCCTGCACCTCAGGGAGTGGCTGTATTTGGACACAGGGTCTTTACAAAGGTAGTAAAATTAACATCATGTCCGTCGTGGGGTGACCCTTGTCTACTCCGACTGGTGTCCTTATAGGGAGAGCACAAGCCTGTGAGGCCGTGGAGGGAAGGCCGCATCTGCGCACCCAGGAGAGGGGCTCTGGAGCTGCGATGTCCAGCCCCCGGCTGGGGGGATAATAACCGTCTGTGGTCTGAACCCCCTGTTCTGTTGGGGTGTTGGGCTGCCCATGCTGTGTGTGTCCTAAGACACCTGGGGCCTCACAGGAGGCCGTGACAGGGACAGGTGGCCCCAGAAACCCCAATACTTTCACACCCACAGCAGGGATGTGACCGGGGACCTTCCACTCAGCCAAGGCCCAGGAGGGGGCCAGCGCCAGGCTGTGGGCCCAGGGGGTCACCTGTCCTGGAGATCTCAGGAGACACGCGGACCTGACAGCTCCAGCATGGGGGGAGGGGGAGTGTCAAATCATCCCCGGAATAAACAGGTTCCCCGGAATCCACACAGCCTCGGGCGCCCTCCTCTCTGTCCCCCACACTGCTGTCCCCATGCAATTCTCACGTCGGAACAAGGGACCTGTGTTTTCATTTTGCCCCAGCTCTGCGGGGCCTACAGCCGCCCTGCCTGCACGGAACCCTCGCCTCAGGCTCTGCGTTTGGGGAAAGCCGCCGCAGGCTCCTTGCGGCCAGAGTAGAGCCCTCGAGGCCGGGCCGGGCGGGTGCCCCGACGGCTGGAGGCCCGGGAGCTGCGCCCCTCGAGGCTCGGTCGCGGCTCAGCCCCCAGATCCCGCGGGCACCTCCCGGCGCTCTCCACCCCTCAAAGAGCCAAGGGAAAGGGAAACAGGAAACGGATGGTTTTAATACAGTGACTCGATGGATGGTGCCGCGGGTGTGGGCGGCGGGTGGGCGCCGGGCCGGGCGGGGGGCGCGCCTGCTGGGGCCGGGGCGGGGCCGGGGCGCTCCTGGGCGGCCGCCGGGCGAGGCGCAGGGGCGCAGGCGGGACCCGCCCCAGCCCGCCCCGCCCCGGCCCTACCCCGCCCCGGCCCGCCCCGGCCCTACCCCGCCCCGCAGGGAGGCTTGCTGCGGGCGGGCGGGCTCACCAGGCGAAGAGCGGCTTGCGGTCCTCCTTGGCGAGCTCGCACAGGCAGCTGAGCAGCAGCAGCGAGTCGCCCAGGAACTTGGGGGGCAGCACGTCGATGAGCAGCTTGCGCAGCGCGGCCGGGCTGCGGGGCGGGCTGGCGCGCAGGTCGGGCCGCTGCCTCAGGATGCCGTAGGTGTTGATGAGGAACTCGCTGAACTCCGGGTGCACGTCGCGGTTGTAGCCCAGCCTCTCCAGGCGCGCCGAGAGCGCCGCGTAGCGCTGCGTCAGCTCCCGCAGCCGCGTCTGGTCCACCGACCCGTCCAGGGACTTGGTGCACGTCTGCGGGGGCGGCTCCGTGGGCGGCGGCCCTCCCCCGGCCCACCCCCTGCGGCGCGGCCGGGGCGCTGGGGCCCCCGGGTCACCCGAGGCCTCCCCGCCGCAGAGGGCAGATGGGGGGAAGGGGGGAGGGGTGGGGGGATGGGGAGGGGAGGGGGTGGGGGGATGGGGGATGGGGGTAGGGGTGGGGGGATGGGGGAAGGGGGTAGGAGTGGGGATGGGAGGGGTGGGGGGATGGGGAAGGGGGTAGGAGTGGGAGGATGGGGGAAGGGGGGTAGGACTGGGAGGATGGGGGAAGGGGGGTAGGACTGGGGGGATGGGGGACCCCTAGAGCTCTGTGGGCAGCACGGGGTGGGGCCGCCGGGAGGGAGGGGGCGGGGGAGGGCCTCAGGGGAGGGAGGGCCCGAGGGAGGGGCTCCAGGGGAGGGAGGGAGGGGCCGGGGGAGGGAGGGGCCGGGGCGGGGCTCAGGGGAGGGAGGGGGCTCCCGGGGAGGGAAGGGCTGGGGGGAGGGTGCGGGGCGGGGGGAGGAACCCCAGGGGCGCGGGAGGGCCCCAGCGGAGGGAGGGACCCCGGGCAGGGAGGCGGCGGCAGGGGCGCACCTGCTTGATCTTCTCGGGGATGTTGGACACGGTGAAGCCGTACAGCCGGGTCAGGCCCGGGAACACGTAGGCCAGGATGCGCCGGTCCAGCTGGAAGGCGATCTCCCCGACGATGCGCGCGTCCTTCTGGGCGCCGCAGAAGCCCTGGATCTCTGTGAGGAGCGGGGCAGGCGGGGCGCAGGACAAGGACAGTCAGGGCCGCGCCTCCTCCCGCCGCGCCCCTGGATCCGTTCTGGGGAACAATGAAGTAATCGCGGCCCGGGCTTGGGGCGAAGCGCTGGGGCCCGCCCCCCCCCACCCGGACGGCCCCGGGCCGCCCCCAAGCCGGAGGGTAACAGCAGGGGAAGGAGAGCTGGACCCTCCTGCGGCCCCAGGGCAGGGACCCCCGTCCCCTCGCCCCAGGCAGCCTGACCACCTGTGGTCCCGGGTCCTAGCCCCCATCCTCTGAGACAGACGGAAATGCCTTTAAAGCTTGTTTCTCAGCCCAGGTGCGTTTGTCTTGTCCCCCCAGAACCTGCTTCCAGGCCCGCCGCAGCCCCGGTCCCTCAGTCAGCGGGCCCTTCCCACGCTCCGGCCCCCATGCGTGTGACCCCGAGACCCTGGGCGAGCACAGCTGTGGCCCAGCCACCCAGAGCCACTGCCCGATGCCTCCCCCTGCTCCTGCCGGGCTGTCATCCCCACGAGGGGCCCAGGGCTTGTCCAGCCACCAGACCAACCCTACAGGGCGGCGCCTGGTGCAGTCTGCGGGCTCCACCCTGAGGGCAGGGGCGCACCCACGGGCGGGTCCTGTGACCACGCACAGGACACCCCACACGGGCACCTGAGCCCTGAGAGCAGTGGGACCCGAGGACCAGCCTTGGCCGTGGCCGTGGGCAAGTTGTTGCCCTCCTTGGCCCCATCCTGTGCCCGGGTCCCCGTAACTGCCCAGCCCAGACAGCCTCCAGGGCGCTCACATGGCGCCACCAGTGCGTGACCGCAGGGGCTCATCAGCCCTTTCAGGACAGGCTGCTGCCAGGCAGCCACTGGTGACCCCAGAGGACAGGCCCCCGAGGACAGGCCCGGAGGACAGGCCCCTGAGGACAGGCCCCAAAGGACAGGCCAGGAGCACAGGCCCCCGAGGACAGAACCCCGAGGACGGCCCCCGAGGACAGGCCCGGAAGACAGGCCCCGAAGGACAGGCCAGGAGCACAGGCTCCCAAGGACAGGCCCCGAGGACAGACCCCTGAGGACGGCCCCCGAGGACAGGCCCCGAGGACAGACCCCTGAGGACGGCCCCCGAGGACAGGCCCCGAGGACAGACCCCCGAGGACGGCCCCCAAGGACAGGCCCCGAGGACAGGGTCAGGGTGCAACTGCCTCAGCCACGCACCCACAGACGCCGAGAGGGGAGCATCCACGGACGGGGCCCATGGGCATCAGGGGAGGTGGCTCTGCGGGTGGGAACAGGGAGGGGCCGCGAGGGTGTGGACAGCCCGGCAGAGGGTCCTGTCTGAGCTACACGGCCCAGAGCCCGGCTCCCCACTGAACCCCACGAGGGCCCTGGGGCCGCGGGGTCCCAGTGGGCAAAGCAGGTTTCGGGGGGCCGAGGAGAAACACTGCTGTGACACGCTGGGGCGACGGGCCACATGGTGGCCGCTCACAGCAGCTCGGCTCGGCCCTCCAGCGTGCGCCGGCGAGGGGGTCCTGGTGCATGGGCATCCCGGGGGCTGCACCTCCTTCACCCTCACAGTGACCCGGGGGCCTCGGGGCCCACGCCCACACCAAGGAACTGAGGTCACGGGGCACAATGCCCCCTCCCTCAAAGCGTGCAACTCCGGGGTTTCCGTACCCTCACAGCCGTCCAGCCGCCACCACGACCTGATTCCAAGACAGAACAAACCCCTGTCCCGCCGCGGTCCCACAGCCCCTGCAGCCGCCGACGCACCTGCTGTCCCCGCGGACATGGGTGCTCTGGGGTCCCTCCGGGGCGGCCAGGCACCAGGTGCACCCCAGTCCGCGCACGCCGCATTCCTGCTCCCCCAAGCGACAGCCGCCGCGCGGGTGGGCCACGTCCTGTCATCCCGGCAGGCCTCCGCCGTCGGGGCTCTAAGGATAACGCCGCTCGGAACGTTCATGCAGGTGTTTGTGCGGACGGACACGCCCGGCTCTCCCGGACCTGAACCCTCGACCGGAGCTGCGGGGACGCCTGGTGCTCCCGAGTCTGATCTGGGATGAAGCTGCCGAGCCGGTGCACAGCGACGAGGCACAGCCTTCGGGGGCCACGTCCCCCTGCACGCGCGTGTGATAGCCTCCGCCGTGGGCTGACGCACCGTCTCGTGGTTCCCTCAGCATTTTGCTGGTGACTGATGGTGATCTTGAGCATCTCGCCGTCCCCCACGTGTGCGTCTCCTCTGGGGCAATGTTCCTTCCAGTTCTTGGGCCCATTTTTAATTGGATTGTTTGGCTTTTTACTACTGGGTCGCGGGCGGTTCTCACACATCGGGACACTCGCCCTTATGGTGTGAGGACCGGGGTCCCCCCCCCCCCCGTGGGCTGGACCCGCTCTCTAGAAACGGGGGCCTTTGAAATATACCAGCTTACACTTCCGAGAAAGCCCAGAGCACGGACTTCCCCTTTTGCTGCTCGTGCTTTGGGGTCACATCTAAAAACCTGTGGCCAAACCCGAGGTCATAAGATGTGTGTGTGTGTGTGTGGTGTGTGTGTGTGTGTGTGTTTTCTCGAAGAGTTTCGTGGCTTTAGCTCTTTTAGATTTTTTCAGGTCTTTGACATATTTTGAGTTCATTTCTGTATGTGGTGTGAGGTCCAACGTCACGCTCGTGCACGTTCGTCCACCCGTCTCAGCACCACTGGTTGCAAAGGCTGTTGTCCCTCCGTTGACTGTCTCGGTGCCGTTGCTGCACATTAAACCTGTACACCCTCGGCCTTGTTTCTGGACTCTCTGTTCCACTTCGCCCATCTCCGGCCGCCGGCCCTACGACCACCACGCTGTCTGCGTACCCTGAGGAGGTGGCGGCTCCGTTGGGGTTTTGGGGTTTTTTTAAGATTCTATTTATTCACGAGAGACACAGAGAGACAGAGGCAGAGACGCAGGCTGAGGAGAAGCAGGCTCCATGCAGGGAGCCCGACTTGGGACTCGACCCCGGGTCTCCAGGATCACGCCCCAGGCTGAAGACGGAGCCGAACCACTGAGCCACCGGGGCTCCCCCCCCACAATGTTGGTTTTTTAACAGGCAAGACATTTTAAGAGCAGCAGCCCCGGACCCGGGCTGAGCCGCCCGCCCCCCTCTGCTGATGGCGGAGCCGGGGCGCCAGGGCCCGCGCACCCCGGCCGTACCGTTGAGGTAGTAGCTCCTCCTGGTCCTGTCCCCCGACGGCAGGCTGCTCTCCGAGAAGCACACCTTCTTGGGCCGGACCATCTCCCTGGGCTCCAGCAGGGTCTTGTCCGCCAGCGGGTCCTGCAGGGGGCTCAGGAGCGGGGACAGCTTGCAGTCGGTGCCCCGGGGCGTGTGCAGCTCGGGGGGGCCGAGGAAAGCCTTGAAGGGCACCGGGGCGGGCGCCGCACAGCCGGGGGACGCGTCGTCCTCGCGGGAGATGGGGGCGTGCGAGCACAGCAGCTCCTCCAGGGAGGACGTTGGCAGCTGGCAGGGCGCTTCCGGGGCACCGGCGAACCTTCCGAAGTCTGCAACTGGATGGGGATGGGGGAGTCAGGCCCGAAGGAGGGGGTCCTGAGGCCGAGAGCCCCCCAGAACCCCAGGGAGCCGCCGCTCGGCCTCCTGACGCCCGTGCGTCCTCGCTCGTTCACAGGGACGCCAACGCTTTTAAATGTTACGTGGCCGCGGCCGTCCTGCGCGGGTCGCCCTCTGCCACATACCTCGAGGTGGCAGCATGAACCTCGGGGACACACCGTGGAGTCATCGGGTAGCTTACTGGATACATTTACCCGCTCCCTGGCGCGTGTGTGCACACGCACGTACACGCACACGGCGAGTCTCACATCCACTGCGCTGCTGAGCCTCGGGGAGGAGTCCCGGTTCCCTCGGCCCGACACCGCGCCCGTGCTCCCCGCGCTCCCCGGGCCCAGGTGTGCGCCGTCGGGCGTCCTCGTGCTCCCCCTCAGCACCCGCCCCGCCCGCCACCCCCCTGACCCTGGTGACACGGAACACTGTGTCCTGTGCTCACCCCCCCCCCCGGGTTTCTTTCTCTGGACTATCTCTGCCTTTTCTCTACTCGTTTTTTTGGGGGGACGGTGGGGGGTGATTCGTGTTTCACATCCTTGAAGCAGCTCCTTCTGTCCCCCTCGTCAACGCCTCCTTCCAGGGCGCTAGGGTTAGTGACTGTCACGCAGAAGGTATGACCCGCAGTCACCTTCAAAGTACTGATTCTTCTTGTGATTCACAAAACCCCTTTCTAGCCTCATACGGTGAACTGGTTCTCCCACCAAAGAGGCAAACACATTCTTGAGAAACCGTGTTTTTTCCGAGCTATAATGAAAAATTACAGGGGCGGTGGCTGGCTCGGTGGGAGGAGCTGCCCCTCGGTGTTGGGGGCTGTGAGTTCAAGCCCAAAGCTGGGGGGAGACATTCCTTAAATAAATAAAACCCTAAAAGAAAAAGAAACATCATATCCTAAAATGTGCCTCCTCGGGAGCCAACTAATCGACCTCCGGCGATGTTTTCCTAGAAAAAAAAAAAAAAAAACTTCAAAAGAAGAACAGCCCCCGGGAGGTGTCTTGCCTCGCGTCCGCCCGACCCGCGGCGTCTGGAACAGCTGGGACTGTCCCGCCGCCGCCTCAGGACTCCCTGAGCACGGGCTGCCCAGAGCTGGGGGGCAGAGCCAAGGGGGGCCCCCCCTGCACCCGCGGGGCCTCGGTGGGCTCAGCCGGCTCGGGCTCTCTGTTCCTATTCGCTGAGCCCCGATTCCCTCCTGTGACTCCAGCACAGGTGTGTGAACATTAAAAAAAAACAAAAACAAAAAAAAATTCCCCGCTCTCTTCGATCCTCAGTCCGGTCCAAGAAGCAGGCACTGTGCAGACCTCGCCCCCGCGGACGATCAATGAGGAAGAGATCATGTCGCATCGTCGCAGAAACCCCGCGGGGAGCCCGGAGCCCAGACCCGCGAGGGGGCCCTGAGCCGCGCCCGCTGCTGGGCCTCCCTCCCCCTGCAGAAGCTCCGGAAGGGCCCGCCGGGTTCTGGGCCCAAGGGCGGGATGAGCGGGTGCCCACGACACATGAGCCCGTGGCCTGCAGCCTGGGGACCCTGCGGAGCACGGTGTGGCCCAGGGGGAGGGCGGGGGCCACGGGGGGCGGTAGAGGCCGCAGCCTGGCGGCGCCCCTCCAGCAGCTCCGTGTGAACGGGTGGGAGCGACCCCGGCTGCCGCAGGGGCGCGGAGGGGCCGTCCAAGTGCCCGCAGCTGACCCCTAGGGGGCCCCGGCCAGCCCCCAGCCCCCACAAGCGCGGACGCACCGTCCACGGGCTTCGGAGAGGAACCGGGTGGGTGAGCAGCGGCTGCCCCGGGGGGGGGGGGCTTGCTGGTGCGGCCCTCGGGCGAGGGGGCGCTCGGCCACCGGCGCGTGCTGTCCAGTGAAGGACACGGGCTCGAAAGCGCGTCCTGCTTACAAGGCGGCGCTGAGGGGCAGTAGGAACCGTGGGCCTTGGGGCGCAGAGCCTGGGGGGCCTGAGGCACGTCCGGAGCCCCGGGCACGGGGGTGCTAACCAGACCTGAGCTCCCCCCAGGGCGGCTGCCGCCCCACTGACATGGACCCCGGCCCTGCATCAGGGCCTTCCCGCCTCCCCGGCCAGGGCCTGCTGTCCTGCAGGGTCGGGGCCCAGGGCGTGAGCACAGGGGGCGCGGCCATCCCAGGGACCCCACCCTGACCAGGTCCCCCCGCAAGTGCCCGTCACAGGGCGCCCACGGGTGCAGGACGGAGGGACGGCAGGGCGGGCCCGGGGCCGCAGCTAACACAGGGGGGGCTCTGAGCCCTGGGGGGGGCCCTGCCGGACCCATCTCCCGGGACCAGGCTGTCCTGGGGCCCGAGGGGGCGCCCTGACCCGCTGTGGGGTGTCCCAGGGCACGAGGCCCCGCGGGCCAGGCCGTCCCCGTGGCAGGCGTGAGCGTGGCCGCTGCGGGAGCTCGGGGCTGGCGGGCTGGGGGGTGTCCAGCTGCCCCCGTGGGCGACAGCGCCTCCTCCCCCAGCCCCCGCACCCCCCGCCCGGGCCTGTCCGAGACCCCCGGGGCCGCAGGGGGGTCCCAGCCAGGAAGGCGCTGAGACCACCCAGCAGGCGGCCTGAGGGCGGCGCCACCTCGTGTGGTCCGTGGGGCCCGCGGGCCGGGAGGGAGGCCTCGGCCGACAACACGGCAGAGGGGGTCCCGGGCCCCGCTTTCCCGGGGAGGCCACGGGCGTCAGCGCCCCCGCGGCTCACCTGCGCTCCCGGGGGAGCAGTCCTCGGGGTACGTGGGCGCCCGGGGGAACAGCAGGTCCCTGCTCCCGAGGCCACCGCGCTCCTGGCAGCTCTCGCTGAGCAGACGCTTCAGCATCTGGTTCTCCTTCATGAGGCGCACCTGCTTCTTGAGCTCCGCGTTCTCGCTCATGAGCCTGCTCATCAGCTCGCTCCCCTCGGCCATGGCCGCGGCCCCATGGAGGTGGCAGCCCAGAGCCCGCAGACGCTCGGGCACAGCCCAGGCCCCGGAGCCCCACAGCCGCCCGGCCTTCCGCAGCCTTGTGATGTCACCCTTAAAGAGCCGGCACCCCGGTCACCCCGTCACCCCCGTCACCCCCGTCACGCCGCGGCGCTGGGCCTGCCCACTGCAGCCTCTGACCCGAGCGACACCTCCCGCCGGGGCCCAGGCCGCGGAGAGCAGGGGGTGGGGCCGGGGCCTGGGGACAGGGCAGCCAGCCCACACTGGAATGTTCTGGATCCCAGGAACTGCCGAGACGGGCCAAGGATGGCGCTGGGTTGTGCGGCGTGCGCAGGCCTCGGGGGACTCCGGTGGCCGTCCCCCCGGCGCGGGGTCAGCGGGGTCCCCAGGACCTGGGCCCAGGTCAGGCGTGCACCCCGGGGACGCACCCTTGAGGCAGGAGGGCGGCGGGGGGCAGAAGGAGTCGGCGCGGCTCCCCCCACAGCCCGGCCCGCGGCTCCGGGCGGCCCTGCAGGTGCTCTGGGTGGGGGCACCGCCGACCCCGCTGCCCCCGAACACGGCTCCTGCATGTCCGGAACCCTGACCCACGGGACCTGATCGAGGGCCCCAACAGGCACAGGGCCGTGGACTGGGGGCTCCGTCCTGGGCACGGGCGGCCTGGACCCCATGACCCCAGCCCATCCACTGCCCAGGGGCCCTGCAGGGCGGCGGCCTCCCCACTGTCCGGCCCTGGCCCCTGGGCGAGCTGCTCACGCCTCGAGGACACGCGGACGCGGACGCCGGGGGCAGCCGGGTGCACTGGGGCGGCAGCATGGGTGGGGGTGCAGGGGTGTGGGCGGGGGTGCAGGTGCAGGTGTGTGCAGATGGGCACGTGTGTGGGCCGGGGCCCAGGTGAGGCTGACCCCCTGTCGCCCCCGGGTGACCCGGCTGCGGGGCACCCCGCGTCCTATCCTCGGCCTCACCCGACCAGAAGCACCAGCCTCCGGGGTCACCTTCCCACTGTGCTTCCTGCCGCCCGGGCTGGACTTTTGTCGGGATCTCCGTCCTCCTACTCGGGTTCTAGGTTCTGGAAGCGGGCGCCTAGGCCGCAGGCTCGAGGCCTTACTGCGGCATCAACACGGAAGCCCGCGGCCGCGGGTGCAACGCCCGAGCCACACCCGCAAACTCTTACCTCATTGTTTTTTCTTTCAGCTTCAAAGAGTTTACTTCCCCTGTACTTTCCTTTGGACCATTGGTATTTAGGAGCATATTGTTTAATTTCCAAATATGTGGGATTTCCTATCTCTTTTATTTACTGAATTCTGATTTAATTCCATTACGCTTAGAGAATCCACCGGATGCCTTCAACCCCGTGGGATGGCTCGCGACTCGCCCCGCATGGCGTGAGTGAATGGTCCAGAAGCTCTTGAAAAGGAGGAGGTGAAGTGTCCCATAAATGCCCATGACTTCAAAATGGCTCCACGTTCTGCTACACTTGCTGAGACAATGTTGAAATCCATTAAATCGTATATTTATCAAATTCCCTCTCCGGCTACATGATGTTTTCTATATTCCGAAGCTCTGTTATTAGGCGCATATACATTATTGTTATTCAAGGTCTATTTTTTTAAGGCTTTATTTATTGGAGAGAGAGAGAGAGCGAGAGCACATGGCCAGAGGAAGGAGCAGAGGCAGAGGGAGAAGCAGGCTCCCTGTAGGGAGCCCGATGCGAGACTCGATCCCAGGACCCTGGGATCACGCCGAAGGCAGATGCTTCACCCACTGAGCCCCCCAGTCTCTATTTCTATTAATGTTCCTTTTCCTGAAACTTACTTTGATATTAATATAGTACTTTTACTTTCTTTTTTTAAAACTTTATTTATTCATGAGAGACGCAGGCAGAGGGAGAAGCAGGCTCCATGCAGGGAGCCCGACGTGGGACTCGATCCCGGGTCTCCAGGATCATGCCCTGGGCCAAAGGCAGGCACCAAACCGCTGAACCACCCAGGGATCCCCCTACTTTTGCTTTCTTATGATTGTTTTTGTTATGTTATCTGTTTTTTTTTTTTATTGGCACTTTTATCCTATTTTCACACTTAAAACTTCTCGGGGACAACAATAGCGGGTCGTGCTTTCTCAGGCCATGGGACGGTCTCTGCCTTGTCAGTGGACTGCTCAGCCCTTCACAGTTAGTGAACCTACTCATGTGGCTGGTGCGTTCATCTCCTAGGGCTCTGTAACAAAACAGCTCACGCTGAGTGGCTTAAAGAACAGAAATTTAGGGATCCCTGGGTGGCACAGCGGTTTGGCGCCTGCCTTTGGCCCAGGGCGCGATCCTGGAGACTCAGGATCGAATCCCACATCGGGCTCCCGGTGCATGGAGCCTGCTTCTCCCTCTGCCTATGTCTCTGCGCCTCTCTCTCTCTCTCTCTCTGTGACTATCATAAATAAATAAAAAAAAATTTAAAAAAAATAAAAAAAAAGAACAGAAATTTATTTTCTTACAGTTCGGAACCCTAGAAGTCCACGATCTGGGCAGCCAGCCCCGCTGCTGGCTCCTCCTGAGGCCCCTCTGGGCTGTGTGGACACCGTCCTCTCCTGTGTCCTCATGTATTCCTCTGAGGACACCAGTCCTATCAGACCAGCACTACCCTATGGGCTCATTTAACCTTAACGATCTCCTCAAATTTAGGCCCTTTTCTTCCAAATGAATCTTGCGGGACACAATTCAATCCTAAGAGTCGGGTTCATCCTGTTTTCTATCTCTTCTTCTTCTTCTTTTTTTCTATCTCTTCTTCTTTTTCCTTTTAGATTATTTTGCCTCCTTTATTAGTTTTCTCGGCCTACCCCTCCCTTTTTTTTTCCTAGTGGTTTACTTGGGCGGACCCTGGGTTCTTCTCACTTCTTCCGTCCACCTGTAAAGACTCCGCCGCTCGGCGATGCAGCACTTGGTGCAGGAGGAGGCGCTCTGCCGTGCCGCCTGCAGCGCACCTGCTGTTGGAAGTGTCCACGTTACTGTTTCGGCCTTTAAAAGTTCATTCTGTTTTAAGGAGGGTTTGTTTGTATGTTTGTTTTTAACAAAGGGGGAAAACCCTCTACGCTTAACATTCCTGGGCCCCATTTCCTGGTGGAGACCCGAGTTCCCACCCGGCTTCGCTTTCCTTCAGCCTAAGCCACTTAACATTTCTTGCAGGACAAGCCGCTGGAGGGTTCCTTCAGCTTCGGTTTGTTTGGAAAAGGTCTACTTTGCCTTCTTTTTTGTTTTTTGGTGAATATAGAATTGGAAGCGGACGAGTTTTTCCCTTTTAATAACCTTCAAGATGCCGTGCCACGGTCTTCTGCTTTGCGTCACGCCTGTTGTCCTTACCTTCGTTCACCTGCATAGAATGTGTCTGTTTTCATTTGCTTTTCAGATGTTATTCATTCATGGTTTCCATCCATTTAGGACGTGCTTTGGAGGTTTGGGGTTTGTTATGTTTGGTCCGTGTGATTATTCTGTGTCTGCTGAGCGTCACAATCAATGAGCTTATAGACTTCACATCCGGAACAGTTTCACCAGGATCACTCAGACGTTTCCCTGCTTCCCTCTTTCCCCGTCTCGTGGGGCCCCAATTATATGCATGTTGGACACTCGAGATCACCCAGCAGGTCACTGGCATCGTCTTTAGAGTGTTAAGCACCCTGGCCACCGGAGGCTGTGTGGCGCTCACCTGTTCCTGGGTGGCCCAAGTACAGCCCCCAATCCTCTACCCTCCCAAGAACCGGAGGCGGCGTCAAGGACACGGGTGTCAAGCCAACTGCGCCTCACGCCCACGAAAGGCCTGGCTGCGGGCAGGTGTCTGAGGCCCCTGGTCTCATGACGGGCTCCAGTCGCCCCTGGGGCCATTGCTGTCCTGGAGGAAGGCTGCAAGTCACCTATCAGTAGCCGTCACGTAGAAACTGTTTTCACTGAGGAGAACCTGAAGTTGTCCTTATCACCCTCATCCTCCTGAGGAAAGGGGGCGGGGGGTCCTCTAGTGCCAGGCCTGAAGGCCACACAGCAGAGGGGCCCGTGGCCCTGGTGCCCTGCAGAGCAGCATCCGCAGCCCCCTCCACGGCCACCTGTGTGGGCAGCTACCGTGGATCCCGCCGCGGGCCGACGGCCTTCGGGGACATGCTGTGCCCCACCCGCAGCCGGTGCGACCACAGGGCTACACATGCAAGCTCCAGCTGCCTCCTAGGACGCGGAGCGAGCCGAGGCCATGATGGCAGAGCAAGCCAGCCCCGGCCTGTGGCTCAGGTCCCATCGACGCCCCCTGCCTCCTCTTTCTGTCATTCCTTTTTCAAAGTGAATCATGAATAAAAATTGATATTGCGGATGGAAATGAAAATAAGTCAAACTGAGCAACTAACCTGTGGTCATCCTAGCTGCAGAGATGAGGAAAGAACGAAGAAGGCAAAGGAGACGGCATCAGTTCTTGAAACATTTTATTGCCTAATTAAACGTGGATGTAGCAATAGTGACGGTGTCCAGTAAGAAAAAGTACTTTCTCGGAGAGGAATTCCCACCGTGAATTAAGGATTTCTAGTCAGGGAATTCCTCAGACGGAAGGTGTGGAGTTGGCGTCGTGGCCGATACCAAAGTCGTGATACGGCTCCAGCAACAGCCTCCCAGCATAAAACAAAATCTGGGCCCGACAACCAAGAATAATTTGAATTCAGGCGTCTTTAATGACTTGCCCAGGACGGAGAACTGGACTTTATCGAAGTACAGCTGACCCAGGGTTGGCCCGGGCCAGGTGTACAACACACCGACTCGCCCACCACGTACGCTGCTCGCGCCCCCACGCCCAGCACCCCGGCACCTGTCACCTTCCACGCGGCGCACGATCATGGGCTGCACTCCCCACAGTACTTTCCATCACCGAGCTACGCATTTTATAACTGAAGTCCGTGCTCGTAAGCCCCGTCACCTGCTCAGTCACCCCCCACCCCCAGCAACCAGCGCTTTGGTCTGTATTTGAGTCTGTTTTGTTTAGAACCGATTTTTAATCAAGCAGAGGAAACACACCTG